GTGTGTGTGTGTGTGTGTGTGTGTGTGTGTGTGGGTGTGTGTGTGTGTGCGCGCGCGTGTGGACTTGAAGGAATGTGAGACCGTTTGTTTTTCTGAGTAAATAAAATCTCTTTTTCTTCTCAACTTTTTAAGACTTCTTGTTTCTCCTGTTCCGCTCTTTTATTTTTCTTCATGTACTCTGTATTCTCCCTTACCTAACCCCCCTCCTTGTATTTTTTTTGCAGTGGGCGCATACTATATAAGGATATGTACAGTTTATTGCGAGTTATCTCCCCTCCTCTGGGCCTTGGCAAGAAATGCCCACATAGGGTGGCCTGCAAGGTTTGAACCAAACCCATAAAGCACAAACCTAAACGCAACCTGCTCGCCTTTTAAGAGACTGGAATGATTGTTGCTCTTTATCACTTTTAAGACAAATTATTTATTAGTTTTATTTCTTTATTTTTTCCATTGGTTTGAACTCTCTGTTTAGGTTTGCATTATTCAATTGTTTTAAGCCCATTTCACCATTGAATCATTCTTTTTTAGGGGGGTTGGGAGGTGGTCTGTTGTTTATGCATTCTGACATGACAATAAGAATGTTTGGGACAATGCAGAAATGCACACACATACACACACAATCATGCGTACACTCACGAGTGCACTGATAGTGGTGCGTCAAGCATGAATTGGTACACTGCACTTGCTATTGTCTTCTGACTGGTTGCTGTAAAAAATGACACCTAATGTGTTTACTTTTATTTTAGTAACATGTTTAAAGACACATTTTAGACTCCAGTCAATCATTGTCTTTTATTTCTGCTTGCTGTCGAATTTTTGCCTGGGCAGAAAATGGTTGAGCAATGTGTATTGTTCTGTTTGAGTTGGGGGTTTGGGTGGAGGGAGGTGGGGTCACAGACATACAGAGAGGGTTTGGTCTCAATATCATTACCATTTACCTTGTTAGCGGTTAGCTAACTCTTTTTTTAGCCTTTTTTCACTTAAACTTTAGTTATCTGCACACAACTGGAAGCCAATAATTTGGTATTGTTTATTAACAAGTACATTAAGAAGGAAAAGCTACCAATTGTTTTATTTTAAACATAAATGGTCAGAATCTGCTGTGCTAAGTTATAAAATTACTAATAAAATTACTACCTAACTGATAACTAATAATAAATACCCCATCTTTAGTAGTTATAAGCTGTTTTCTTCATTGCTATTTGTCTGTCACATTGGCATTACTTATCCCTGCAACCACTAGTTGTGTAGACAGACAGTGTGAATACCAGAGGTGTAGAGTAACAAATTCCATTTACTTTGCTACAGTACTTAAGAATTTGTTTTGATAATCTATAATTTTCCAAATTTTTTATTGTAACTTTTGCTTTCTTCCTGTTAAATTCAAAACATAAAAATTACACTTTTAGTTCTTTATTTTAAAGGGGCTATATCGTGTAAAATCAACCTTTCTGAGTTTTATATCATGTTATAATGTTATTCTCTCATCAAAAACATGCCCAGAGTCTTACTTTGACTCATTCATGCATGTTTGAGAAATCCTGTGGTGTCCGGAGGCAGCCAGGCAGGGGAGCAAAAATGGCCGGTTGGGACTAAAACCACCTATTGGGACTAGCTCCACCTCTGGGCTATGTCTCCAAGCTAAACTTCCTCATCAC